TTCTGTGGACTATACAAAATATGTTCATTAGATTTGATACAGAAAATCATGTTCAGATAATAAGATTGCACTYGGTCAGTTCAGTCTGTTCTGAGCTCCTTTAGAACGAGCTGTTTCTGCAAACAGGCTGCTGTTGGCAACGCCCTCCCAACCCTTTGTTTACATCMCATTGAGGCAGCTGTGGCAGAGTGGTTAGGGGAGTCAAAACACATTTGATCTGAGCGTTTACATTTATTGTACTTAAATATCAAATGCAATCTGATATAAAACGTACTTAAATATTAAAAGTAAAAGCACTGAGTAAAACTGAGCAATTAGAGTTTCAAAAATGACATTTATTGGGAGGTGGCATCTCCATCTTTCTGAAGCCCATAATAACCATAATGTTGTTATAATGGGATGTAAAACATACATACATGATCGCCCGCCTCTCATGGCAGTGGGTGATAATAATCATGACAGTTCGAACAGATGATTCTCTGATGTATCTGTCAGCTGGAATGTGTTTGAATGTTAAACTGAGTGAAGCTTTCAGTCCAAGTGAATCAGAGTCAGTAAATTGAAACGTGTTGGGCTGAAGCTCTGTGACTCCATCTAGTGGATGATAGAAGATCAACGGCCTCTGTCTGCGCTCTGTGAGCAGTGGAGAAGCAGCTGGACCCTTTACAGCTCAAATAATCTAAGAATGTTTCGAGTTGCAGAAAAATGATTTGTGTTTCTTCTGCAGGTGAAAGTGGACTGATCTGATCAGATGTGGATGTGACTTGAGCAGCACTGGTTGGAGTGGGGACAAAACCCACTTTGTGTGAGGAACATAAGAGGTTAAACAGAGCCACAGCAGTTCCACCTTAAAGGACTCCTTTAAACGTGGTAATTAGGAAAACTGAACATTTATAGTGGTGGCTGTCATGTGACATCTGCTCCTATTTCATAGTCTGCAGCAAAACACAATATCTATATTTTCTTAAGTGTAAAAATTGAAAACTAAATATATATTTTTTGTGTGTTAAATATATTTAA